GACCAGCATTTCTGGCCACTGCAGCCAACACAGCAGAAAAGGCTGCTGAGATTTTTTTAAGGGCATCCCAGGCTACCCAAGAGGGCGGAGTGCTTGTCTTCACCAGGATACTCGCTGCTCTCAGCTCCACTTCCAAACCCTGGTGTCTGGAGAGGGTCCCAGGGAAGGCTTTTATCACCCGCACCCACCTCCTTCCCTTGGTCTGCCTTCCTACAGGCACAGCCCCACCTGCACCCGCTTCCGGACCCTGTGCTGCACCCTTGTGCATGGCCGCTCACAGCTGTGGGCAGCCCGTTTGCAGGCCATGGGCGGGGAAGGGACATTTTCTGGGTGAAAGAGAAATACTGGGCCTGGTGGCCAAGGTGGTGTCACTTTAAGGAGTGCACATGCCCGCGTGTGTGTATGTGTGAGTGTGTGTGTACGTGGAAGAAGGCCACCCCCACAGCCTGGCCCCTTCGGTTAGGCTTCCTCGTCCTCTTCCCCACTGAGTTCTGCTCTAAGGGGACCGGCTTCCCTCGTCCGACTTCCCACCCGAAAGTCCTGCGTCTCTGCCTGACCAGTGGTCTGTGTGGAGACGAGCACACCCCGTGGGCCGCACGGGGCCCGGTCTCTCCCGCGCTGTGGAGTCTGAGGGCCCGAGCGTGCCTGTTTCACCTGTGAGCTTCATCTCAATAACCAGGACATCAGGGACCCTTTTCTTTCCAAAATCCTGGTCTGGGGCAGATGTGAACCAGCTCCTGGGGCCCCATCATGTCAAGAGGATGGACACCCCATTTGTGCCAACCGTCTGCCCCTCACTGCCCCTCAGGCACCCGTCTCCTTGGCCTCCTCCTCCTCCTTTCAGGGCTGTTGGGAGACAGGGAAGAACACCAGGAGTCCGGACCCTAACTACATCATATTTTTAGATTTCTCTGCTCCCTAATGGCCTGTTTTGGGGCAAAAAAGAAACAAGAAAAAGAAAAAAAAAGGATTTTTTTTTAAGGGTCAGAGTTTTGAAAACAGAAGCATCTTCCCTAGAAATTTTTGTGAACTGTTTGCACTTGTGCCTGTTTTAAATTAAACTGAGTGTTCAAAACCTCTGGACTTCCTCTTGTCTCTGGGAGTGGAGCCGGCTGTCTCTGAGCTGGGTGTTCTGTAGCAGGCGTCTAGTGTGGCCCTCTCATCCCCGGCACAAGCTTTCCACTGGCCACTCTAGTCCACAGACAACTCAAATCCCCCTGGTGGCGTGTGGACCCAAACTGAGGGCAGAGAATGAAGGAAACAGGAAGTGAAATACCCCTGAGACTGCAAGAGCTGAGAAATAGACAGGCCTCTCCTTCCCAGGGGAGAGGGGCCCAGCCAGGAAAGCCAGGGCCATACCTCTTGCTTGCTGGCTCTACAGGGGCTCCAGGGGCAGCCACCAGGATTGATGACCACTTTCTGCAGCAGCTTCTCCCTTTCCCTATTTGCTTCTCCTTGGAAGTGAAAAGCTACTGTCTTTCGGCTGTCCGTAGGAAGGGGCCTGAAACTGCCTCTGGTGAGAAAGAGGTCTCCGTTTGGGTTCTCAGAACTGAGGGACGTAGTGAGGAGTTGTGAAAGAGCAGTGTGGTGGCTGGAAATCAAGAAAGTGGACTTTGAGTCCTGGGGGGTGGGGTGGGTGGGAGAAATTTTCTTAAAACTTCTAGCTCTAACACTGATTCCAGTACTTCCTTTCTGAGAGCTCATTCTACCCCCTAGCCCAGGGCTCACTGAAACCTCTTAATCAGGAGCAAGAATCCATGCAGACCATCTCCTGCTCCCCACAGCATTCACACCTAAATGGCTGCCCTGGTCCAGGGCTCCAGGCCCACCAGCTCAGCCAGAAATAGCACCTGAGTCTTACCTCCTGGAGGCAGCCACAGTGGGACCCACAGAGATGGGGGCGAGTACACCCTGCCACCTCTCCAACTGAACAACACTGGATTTATTAACTATTCTTTTGAGTCCTAATAGTCCTTCCAGCACATAAGTGTCATTCCAAAAGAGCGTATGTAAGTCATTCCGCCTCACTCAGCCCAGTTCTGAGTTTGATCTCAGAGTACTGGCTTCCAGTGGCATGGGTACATTTTCACAATGATGAAAGCAACAAGAGTTGGCAAAGCAAAGTGTTTAGAAAGTCTCTTCTAAAGTGGAGAGAGCTAGAGAGGACCCAGCCCCCAATGCCCTTGGGACAGACAATGAGAGGAAGTTCAGGAGAGCAAAATGTGGCGAAACATTTAAGTTTTGCACTGAGCTGGGCCTGGTAAGAAACCTGCGAGAACAAGTCAGTCAGACACACAATTCATTCAGACAGGAAAGATCAGCTGTGGTTTTTTTAGAAACATCACTTTCAACTACCCAGCCCTTGGCAACTCCACAGAGGGGCCCTTGTGGTTGTTTACCCAATAAAGAGGGCGCAGGTGACATTCAACCAGAAAACCCCATGTCGGTGACACTTGAAAGATACAGGACTTTCAACACAATGTGCACCTCAAACCTCAGGGTGTTTTGAAGAAGCCAAAATACTTGTATTCTTACACCGTTAGAAACTTCATGAAAATTAAACACAGTCGGAAAGGGAATAAGTGAGCAAGCAAGGGGATAAGTGATCAGGAAAAAAAGGAGTTTGCACTTGGGGTGACCAACCCCCCCATCTTGCCCCACATCCTCTTCTTCTGGCTTTTGAGGAGCTTCTGTGTCCTTTACCCACCACCAAGACAGTGGACTAAAGGAGGCAGATGTTTGAGGGGAAAGGAGTGGGGGGAAGGGCAAAGCACCCACCCCAGAAACAAAAGCAGGGCTCATCAGAAGAAAACAGTGCATGATCAGTAGGTCCCACGGTCCAGAAATCCCGAAGGAGGGGTTGGAAGCTCCAGTTTTCCAGAAGACAGCAGGACCTCGGAGGACACAGAGACAACCTGGAAGATCTTGGGGTCTTTAGTGAAGGGTCTGCGCTCCCGCTACTCCAAATGCGAGTTTTTTTGTTCATGGTCCCTTACTTCACTGCTGTGAAATGACTTCAAGTATCAGGATTTAATGTACTACAAGAGTTTGAAGATTTTATGGGCAAATGCACCCACAGGAAGAAGTAAACAGCAGAGAGGATCTCAGATAAAACCGTGAGTCCGAACTCCGAGCCGGGACGCAGCGAGACTGCAGTGCTGCCACCAGGGGACACCAGAGATCACGTCCCGTGTAAGGGCGCCCCCCCAGCCCCGCGGCCTCGCGGGCCTAGAAGGGTGGGCAGATTAGGGAATCGTCTGATACCTACCTCCGCAGGGCCCACTCCTGATCAGCCACCCATCACCCCCAGGCCTAATTTCCCAGCACAAGTCTCCCTCTGGGCAGTTCCCTTAGAGTTACTGGTGAGAAACCTTTCATTCTGCAAAGACAGATGGACATCTTGAAAAGACCCTCCCGCAGGTAAGTGGGAGCACACTCAACCTTCGGGGTTCACAGAAAGAGCTCCACGCGCCGCCACCTGGCGGGCTGGGTGCACAGACAGGAGCTAGTGCTTCCGCAGGGCACGGCGGGGCATGAGATTTGGCAGACCGGCTTAGTTCCCCCCCGGCTAAGCCGGCACAAAGAAGGGGGCGGGGAGGGAGGGAACGGGGCGGGGGGCAGGCCAGGAAAGGGCCTTTTACCACTTCTCTGCGGTTGCCTCTGACTCACTAATCTTCCCGGTAATGAAGCAGGGCGGGGGGCGGGGGGCGGCGGACCTGCGTCCCACGCCTTGGGGCAGAGGCAGGGGTTCTTGGTCTCGACCTCTTGCATCCATCATCCGCTCTGCCCTCCATTAACCGCCCAGCGAGAAGCAGGAGCCGTTTAACAGCCTCCTCCCAGCTCTCGCTGGAGTTTGATGTAATTTAAACCCGGACCTGCGGCTAGTGTGGGCTTCCGACTCCCGCGCGCCTCGTTTAACGTGGCAAACACTTCAGTCAATTATCCCCCTCGCGGAGCTTCTATTTAAAGAGACATTGTCAGGTTCTTAAGCCTTGGATCAGACCTGCTGCTTTCTGCTTCATATACAAAGACGCAAAACACGGGTTCTTTTGAGGATTGGGAGAAACACAATGAAGCAGAGTGCCTTCTTCGCAACAGTTCCCCCCTGCAGGAGCACCCACGTGTGGGATGGGGGAGCTGGGAGGAGCTGGGGGTGGGAGAAGTGCTTTCCATTTCAGGCCTCTGAGAGTGAGAGGAGATAAGGCTGGGCCAGGAGGGGTACGACCCCAAAGACGGAACTCAAATGCAGAGGAGCCTGGGGATGGCGTTGGCCGGGGCCACACTGCCAATGAGGTTGAGTTCTGGGTGGGCCTGGGGAAGAGGAGGCGGGAACTGGAATTACCCGGAAGCTGGTTCGAGAGACAACTAGCATTCAACACCAGAGGTTCTGCCACTTGCAAAACAAGTTTTCATTGTCTTGAGGCAGGAGATCCTCCCTAGAAAAACTTGACCTCTAGAAGATTCCTTCCTAACCAGCCCTCTTGCCCAAAAGTCTCTGAGGCCCATCTCCATGCTCCCCTTCTCCGACACTTAAGGGAAAGGGGACTTAGGTCATGTGTGGCATTATTGTCAGCATCACTGGGAGGGAAGGGGCTAGACCCTGGTTGGGTCCACTCTTCTGCGCACTCGGAAACATGGCCATGGGAAGGAGACCAAGCAAGAGCCAGCCAGACTCAGGACTGAGCCTTGGGGCACAGGGAAGGGGGTCCGCCTTCCCGGAAGGTTGTAGCCCATGGAACCACTCCATGCTCCCCTTCCAGGTCAGGAAAGGCAGGCTGCACAGAAGGTGAGACTTAGGCAGGGAATACTAAAAAATACCAACAAGCACAAAAAAGATATAATAGGGGTCCCTTTCAGAGAGAAGGCCACTTATCTTGGCAGTGGGGACAGGTTCTGGGATCACAGATGGGAGGGAAACTGCCAGGAAAGTGAGGACGTGGAAGGAAGAGAAATCCCAGAGGAGCAGAGGCAGGCAGGTGCAGGGAACAGGGCTACGCTGTTTACCGTTGAGCGTGCAACGCCACGGCCTCCGTGTCTGCCTGCCAAGCCTGGGGTCCAGGCATCGAGTGCGGCACAGCGTTGGCCTCCAATTCCGGGCCGCTCTCGGGCCCTGGTGCCTCCCCGACCAGGCTGGGGATGTCTGGAGCTGTGGAGCGTCGGCGCAAACCCAAGCGGCCGGAGCCGGGGCCGCCCTCAGGGTGGGGGCTAAGGCCGATCGGGGCTTGCGCTAAGGTTGGGGGCGCTCCCTCCAGCACCTCATGCGAACGCCACCGCCCAGTCCCCGAAGACTGGGGCGAGTGTGGTCGGACCATCAGGGCTCCCGCCCTCAGTCGAGACGTCTCTTCCTCGGTCACCGCACCCAGAGCCAGACTCATGCTCCGGCCCAACTCGGGCCGCTCGCTCCCCTGCGCCCGGTGCCGGCCCGAGCTCTTGCCCCCAGAGCCAGCCTCGCCTCCGTGACCATGGCCGCCGGCCGCTCGCGCAAAGCGCGCCAAGAGAGGCCGCTGTAGGCGCCGGGGACTGGGTCGTCGGCGCTCCGGGCTGGGCGCGGGAGCCGGACGGCCAGGGGGGCTGTCGGAGTTGGAGCCCCGAGCCGCGGCGGCCGCAGCGGCGGCGGCTGCGCGGCCCCAGGGCCCGGTGAGGGCCTGCACGCAGGTTCCGTGACCGCGAGCGGCGGCCAGCTGCAGCGCTGTAAGGCCAGCACGGTTGGTGCGGTCGAGGCGCAAGCCGAGACGGCGGAAAGAGCGCACCAGGAACTCGAGCACCGCCCCGTGGCCGCACGCCGCTGCCCACATCACGGGGCTGTTGCCCGCCGAGTCAGCCGCCTCCGGGTCGCCGCTGAACTGCACCAGCAGCTGCACGGCGTCCAGGTGGCCACGCTCGCACGCCAGGCTGAGTGCGGTGCGGCCGCGCTCATCCTTCAGGTTCACGGCCGCACCCTGCTCCAGCAGTAGTCGAACGAAGCGGGAGCGCAGCGCGGGGTCCGGCAGCCCCACGGCCACCATGAGTGGCGTGCGGCCCTGCTCCGCGCGGCAGTCGATGATGCTTCGGTCTAGCGCATCCAGCACGAAGCGGGCCAGGTGCACTTTACCAGCCTGCATGGCCTCCAGGAAGGTGCGCGTACCCGCTCTGGGGCACAGGTCCTTGGGCTTGAGCATGGCACCGGCCGCCGCCCCGAGGCGGCCCGGCAGCACCGCACGGGGGCGCCCCTCTTCCCGCGCCCCGCCGAGTTCTGGCCTCCGCGGGGTCTCTGGCGTGGCTCCCTGCCTGCGTGGGCGGTTGCGGCCGAGGGTCCTGAGCTTTCCACTGTGCTGCCCCCACGGCTCCCGCTGTCCTGCCGCAACTGGGCCCCACGCCTGGAGTCTCGCTTCTCCGTCCCTGGGCTTCCCGCCTGCCTGGAGGTGTGGGTTGCTCGCTGCTCCGCGCCAGGCCCCGCACGAGACGGCTGGAGCCGAAACTCGGCCCGCTCCTGAAACTCCCGCTGCCTTCCCCGTGTCCCGCGACCCTCAGTCCCTCGTGGCCTGGAGCCGCGCCACTCACCCGCACCCGGGGCAGCCCCCGCTCCCCTGCTGAGACGGTGGCGCCAGCCTCGCGCGCCTGCCTCTAGCCCTGGCGGGGCGCGCTGCTCCTCGAGCTGCTAACGCCGCTCCTCCGCCTTCTCTCCTCTCGCGGGGGCCGGGCCACGCCAGGGCGCTTGCTCCTTACTTGGGGGGCTCCGCGGCGCAGGAGCCGCCGCCCACCTGGATACCTGACTTTACAGCCTCGGGGGTCTCCATGGCAATGGCTGCCCTGGAAGCGGGCTGAGCCGTCAAGTCAGAAAAGGACGGGCGGGGGAGACCAACCCTGACCCCCACACCTTCGCGGGACTAGATATGCGGGAGCAGTTCCTCCTCCGCGCTCCCCTGGGGCTTCAGCGGCGGCTTCGGGAGGTGGCGGGGGCTGCTCGTCGTGGGCCACATGCAGCCGATCGTGCCAATCCAAAAGTCACAGTCTTCTCTCCCCGCCCTCTGCTCCCAGCTGAGTCTGTGCTCCTTAGATGTTTCTAGACTCCTTAGAAACTGGCCGGACTTCGGGGCCGTCGGGGAAGGCCGGGCGTTGCCCCCGGAGGTCCAGGTGGAAAGAAACGGCACCCCACGAACGCAGAACTGGACCATAAGCGAGCTAGGGTGGTGCGAGAGGCGGGCTGGGAGTAATTTGGGCGAAAGGGTAGCTGCGCTGCGCGCAGGACGGGGGCGCCCAGTCTGGCTGGGAACTGCCACTCGTGTAGCGAACCACGCACTCACAATTGTGCCTCCCGCACAGGCTCCCTGGAAGTGGGGGTGGGGGGAGAGCGCGCTCTCCAGTCTCAGACGTCTCCAACCCCTGCAGCGCGCCCGCCCCCCAGCTCCCGGCGCCTTAGGATTCCGGAGTGCTGCAGCCGCAGCAGCAACTCCCCGGGGCCGCCTTTTCCCTGCTTCAGGACCCCCGCCATCCCGGAAAGAGCAAAGATCGAAGAACACACGCAAGGCTCTCCCCACGGCTTCTCCCCACGTCCCCATTTCCCTCTTGAGCACAACCCCCACCCCCCCCCCCACAAGGCTCTGACCTTCACCACTAGCTGACCCCTTCGGAGTGTAGAGGAGAGCTTGAGGTCAATAGGGTGTAGAAAAACCAACGCACGAGTCTCCCTCTGGCCCTGGGGGGCGGGGTGCACAGGCTTAGGGTGCGGGGAGTCCGGGTGCCCTAGAGCAAAGGGATGTGGGAGGGTGCGTAGGCTTGAAACTGATACTTGAAAAATAAGAGGTGAATCAGGTATCAACCACAGATTTACTGATTCTTTTCGTAAGCCAGGTATTGTGTTTCCAGCGGTGGGAAGTAGAGAAGCAGAAGTTCAGTTCTGGATGGAAAAGACCTCCCTCTCCAGTGGGACGTAAAAAGTGGAGTCTACTGCGAACCAGAGTATCGTGGTTCGATTCCCAGTCAGGACACATGCCTGGGTTGCAGGCCAGTTCCCAGCAGGGGATGCACAAGAGGCAACCATACATTGACAGTTCTCTCCCTCTCTCCTTCCCTTCCCTTCTAAAGGCAAATAAATAAAATCCTTTAAAAAAAGAAAAAACAAAACATTTTTTTAAAAAAGTGGAGTCTATCACCTGAAGGCTGAATTTATCTGTTAAATACAAACGGAGACAGCCCTGAGAGGAAAAGGTGGAGCTGTGAGGGAGGGCGGGCCCTGAGGTCTTCCAAGGGTGGAGCTTCTGAGGTGGTCTTCAAGGAAGTGTGGGGTGGGATCTGGCTGCAGAGAAGCAAGGAAGACATTCCAGACCAGGTTACTGCAGCAAGGGCCTTGGGGCAGGAAAAACGCCTTGAAAGAACAGTGTTGGAGGCTACTTGAAAGGGTCCCTTCCTATGAAAGACAGGAAATTAAGAGAAAGGGAGAAGTGTCTTCAGCCCAGGCAGAGCAGAGACAAGAAGCTCTGCAGCAGAGGTTGCCCGGGGAAAGGTGCAGGGCAGAGAGACGGTTTGCCTCCAGGAGGGAGGCCACGCGTGCGTGAGTGGCGGGTGGCCGTAGGGCCCTGCACCCTGAACTTCTTGCCCCTCTCCAGCTCCCAGGCCCCAGGGAGCCTGCCCCGAAGGAACATGTGATGCAAACCTGCACACACTGTGAAGCCCCTCTTCTTTTTGCATTTCTTAATCCCTCTGCTCAGGGCTCTGCCAGGGTTTGACATCAGCATTAATTCCCAGTTTGAAGGCATTTACCAGCAGTGCGATTCCCGCCTGCAAAATGGAGCCAATAATACTACCCTGCCTGCATCAGGCAAGATGTTGCTGGAGAGTGTCAGGAAAAGAGCTATGCAATTATCCAGCACGCAGAAAGCCCGATCCCGCCCCCAGACCTGGGTGTCGCCCAGGGGTGGGTATAGACTCTCCAACCCCCAGGAGGACAGGAATGTTCTCCGAGCTCTTTACTCAGACAGAAGAAGAAAGGCTTTTCTTCCCTTCGTGACTTAATTTCCCTTTCTCCACCATGAAGGAAATTGCTTTCTTCCCTTCTTTCTCTGTTTCCAGGGTCAGGCCAGGGGTACCCCTGGAATCTGTGTGTGGCAGGCCATCCTACAGCCAGGCAGCGACCCCCCACGTGCAGGAGAGAAACACAGACTGGGCACCTTGCCGGCCCCTCTCCCCCGAGCTCCCTCCCCGAGGCATCTCTGCCTCACTGACGCCCATGTTGCTGTGGAAGATGGAGACAGTTCCACGGAAGAAGAGGAGCTGGGGGCCTCACCCTGGCCTGTTAGAGAGCCCCGTGCTGGGTGCTCTTTGGAAGGAGTAGCTGGCTCCATTTGCCTCAGGTGGCCTTGCCAATCGGGGCCAGGCCTGTGGTGGGGTAGGGCAGAGGGTGATGGGGGGGCTGGGGGGGGTCTCAGGCCCTGGAGGCTTTGCTTGGACTTCCCTGTGGGCTCAGTATGTTCCCAAAAGAAAAGAAATAGCAAAGCTGGGGGGAAAAAAAGCTGAAACTTTGCTGCAGAGCACAGAGGCACCAACAGCCCAAATTAGAAGCTGTCGCTTAGGGAGCTGAAGGCTGACAGGAGATAGAGCCGAGGCAGGCAGGGGGCAGGCAGGCTCGCGGCTCCCTCTCTCCACCCACCCCCGAGCCTCTCCCCTGCTGGCCCCAGGTTGGCAAAAGGGCTTCCTTGCAAAGACGGCTCAGGTCTGCAGTCTGTCACTCTGTCTGCAGCTGCCCGCCCCCCAGACCCCCTTCTTTCCTCCTCAAGTGTCACCAACCCCCTCACCCTGTCACGTTGCAGCAGCTCAGCAGGGTTGGGCCCGGTGGCACGTGGCTGGGAGAGCTTGGGGGGTGCAGGGGGCGGGTGAGTCAACAGGGGACCTGGCATCTGAATCAGCAGGGAGATTGGGAAGGGGGTAGGGACCCTTCTCTTTATGCAAAAGGTGAAACTGAGGCATGGTAAGTAAACAGGGACCTTGCCCAGCCTCCTGGATACCCAGCAGGAATGGAACCCAGGTGCCCTTCACCTGCCCAGTGCCCTGACAGAGGTAAACCCTTCCTTGGCTCCTCCCGATGCCAGGAACTAACTCATCTCCAGGGCCGAGACGACGGTAGTTTCCCAGGGGCACCTTGCTCCTTTCTAAGAGAACAAAGCAGGGAGGAGGGCACCTGGGCCTGGAAGCCCCCAGCTTGCTGTGCAGAGGCCTCTCTAGGAGGCAGGATTTTGTCCTCATTCCTGGGCTTCCGAGCTCCTGGGCTTCCGAGCACACTAGGGGCCCAGAGACCAGCAGGCCTGGCTTAGAAAAGCAGGGGAAATCAGCCCCTCCTTCCCGGGGCACTCCCTGTCACAAGCTGGGCACTGCCCAGTTGGCTCTGTTTGGTACTGGCTCTGGCGTGTGCCCCATGTCTAGGTCAGTGAGTTCCTCTAAACCTGGGTTTCTACCCCTGGGCTGGGGGGCAGATGGTGCAGCTGGAGGACTGAGACGGGGCACCACCCTCAGCCATATCCAGTGTGTGTGCAGGCTGCTCAGTGACAGACCTTACTTCTGGGGATGAGCAGACCCTTAGCCTCACCACGCAGCCAGGGACCGCTAGGATCCCAGAGGTCAGGGCCCCAGAGGGGTGGGGAGGTTCCTGTTTATTTTCCGAAGGCACAGGTGCACATAGCTAATGGCATTCGCTAAACTCTGGTAAGAAAACAACCTCTTCCCAGAATCAACCCCCACCCTGCTTTTCCCAAGCCAGTGCCTGGCCCCAGTGGGGATTCAGGACCATGTCATAGGTACAGTGACTGGATGCCCACAAGCCCCTCTATAGCAAGTGCTGGGGTCAACCATGACGGCCACAGGGGGCTGAGAACCCGACCACTGTAAGTGTGCTTAACAGGAGGCAGGGGTCTGAAGGTTTGCAGCTCCCCAAGAGGGTGGGGGGCACCTTTGCATAGGCTCCTCTGCTCCAGCTTTGAGGGTGGAGACAGGGAAGGGCCACATCCGGGTGGGGGTAGAGAAGAGGGGTGGTGTCATTTTTGAATGGTTACGGCATCAAGGAGGGCAGAAGGGGAAGTGACTCCTTTTCAAGCCTAGAGGCAGGGCCCCCCCACTGGGTTGTGGAGGGCGCCTCGCCCCGGGGTTCGGCTCCCGAGGGTTCCCCCCGGCCTGCTTCATTTCAGGGTAT